TGTCTAAAGATAAATTCACTTTTTGTATGCTCTTTTTAACATTTCACCAATTTTAAGACAACCAAATATTGCATTTTTAAGTTAAAAATCTTGAACTTGTACTTGTTACCCATTCCACCTTTACTTTCTCATATGGTATGACTCTTTCTTTCCAATTTTTGATGAATGATTTCCCCAAAGTCCTCGAGTTTTCACTTCTCTTTTTTCTTTTTACCCATCGAGGGTCAGGTGTCAGAGTAAGAGATGCGCAAGTGAGTATCTCCATATTTTGTCATAAATGTCATCCCCGTTTCCCTCCGTCATTTTTCCTCACCACCCCACTTTTCCTCTCCACATATTAATGACAGCTGTTTGGCCGTCTCTTTTTGCGTTTTCGAGAGTTGAACCGTTTTGAAAAACGGTAGTGAATATCGTTTTTCTTGTAGACTTTAGATTATCAATCCATATCTATTTTTCAAGATTTATTTAAGAACAATATTGAAATCAGTTTATCACTGAACCAATCTCAAAAGCCAATCGTTTTTCTCAAAGCTTCACTTTAACACCTTGTCTCGAGAATGATTCTTTTCACTAGTTCATCCGTTAGTCTAAATTTTCCGCCATTTTCCGGTGAAAATTGTTTACAATTGGCCATAATCCATCGACAAATGTAGAAAAGGGAAAAGAAGAGGAGAAAATAAGCCTCGTTCTCCTTTCAAAAAAGAATAGGAACAAGGTGAGCATCTGGTAGCGGAATTGAACATTCAACAACACTATCACTGTGCCAACCTTTACCCCAGAAACCAATGTTGAAAACTTAACTTGAAACTCCCAACAATGTCATCACTATTAGAAATTAGCATATTTGAGTGCTAAAGAAAGATATCCAAATATTGAGACAAAGATTTCATTCACAGATTTCCTTCCACCAGGAGAAAGGAGGATGGCCCAATTAGGTGGGGGAATGGAAGGGGGAAAGGGGGAGAGTGGCTTCTACGAGATAAGGTTTATGGCCCTATATTGGCCCCGGGAGGCCGTCCAGGCACAGAACAGATAGACAGAGACACGGGACATTGCACGGAGAGTAGAATGAATGAGATGAGAGAGATGGGGGGCACAAGCTGACGCACTGTTTTGACTCCTCTCCATTGAATGGTCTATTCTGAAAGATTTGTGCAGAGATAAGGTGAAGATTGGCTTCATTGGGAAATGGTTTTGGTTGATACGAATTTTTGTCAGCACTTATGCATCTACCAATCCATGGGTTGGCTCTTAAATGGGGTTTCTCAAGTTTCAAGATGCTTGAAGATATGGGTGATTCTGCAAATTTGCGTATCTACTTAGCTTACAAGTTTCAAAGTCCATTTTTCAACTGTACAAGTTTCATGAGCCACAAGTTTTCCAAGTTTCTTAAGTAATTTTATTCAATTCTTGAACTGTAACCAATCTCAAATAATCGAATAAACTACTTAATCCCAATTGAAAGAGTCACTCGATCAAGCACTCCCAGGTGTTGCATATTCAAATCAAGTAGAAAGCTGGGAAAGGAGGAGGTTGAAGAATGAGATCAGTGAGCCACATCTGCCTTTTCTGTCATTCATTTCAGCCTCTACCGGTACTCCCCTTGAACCTTTTATTGAATTGACTGCTGGGTGGAAGGCTAGGTGAATACTTGATGACGGTTGAATGGTCGGCTCCATTCATTGATTAGGTAATGAAACGATTTGAGCGGGAATCTGTGAGATATTTGCTTGAATATGGTCAAAGGTAGCATTGGTACGGTTATTTCTCAAATATACTCTTACTCTAACAAAAAGATTTTCTGCTATAAGGTCCCTATTTGTTTTAAAATTAATTCTCAATAGTTTAAAGATGAACTTTCTTTAGTCTACTGTTTGGTTTACTAATAACTCGCGTAATCAACATAGATCTGAACTAGCTATAGTAATCATATAAATACCTAGGTAGGTATTTATATGGTTACTTTATATGGCTCATAGTATTGGTCTACCATATCTTAGGACTAGATTACTGTAGCTATGACACTGACACTGACACTGTGCGGTACGGTACATCTATGTCATATTTAGGTATGGTACTGTTTGATCTAGAATCTTGATGAATACATCGGTACAGCACTTAAAAGTAAGAATTAGATACAGACAAGAATTGAGTTGAGAAAACTTTAAATATATCGCTAAAATTTCAAGAGTACCAATGGTTTCCCCACTCATTTCCTTCACCTCTACTCAAAGCAGACAGATTTCGTTCACCTGGAGATCTATTGGTGTCCAGATATTCGCGCATCTTCTTGTCCTGTCGTTCTTTTCTTTTTCTTTGAAAGCATTTGATGGGATCTCATTTTATTTTCCTTTTCCTTTCCTTTTTTCATTCCACCTGCTCATTTTCTTCCTTCATTTCCTTTTCCAAAAGATTTTGCTCCTCATCGTCAATGGCAGATACAACCGATCAACTCTTCCAATTAAATGGGGTCATCCCATTGATCTGGCTTGTCATCTAGAATTGTTTTCGAGATTTGTCCAATGGGATGAGACTCACTGTTAATCTATTGCCAAACCACTTACAGTATTTCTTTTCATTCTCTAAACTTTTACAGTAGGCAAGCTAAAGTTAGGTATTTGTACCAGAAGGCTCCATTTATTCGATTTTAAAACTTAAACTTAAAAGTTTGGGCAACCGTAGACCTGTAATTTACTTCTATACTGTATTTTTGTTCTGTACAAGTTTAACTAATCTCTTTTAGCCCCAAGACTTTATTAAGTGTCGAAGCTTGAGTACTGCTCCTCCACTAATCCCGCCCCCCTTTCACCAAGTCCCCCTTCTCGGTGTCGAAGGTGGAGAGGAAACTCCGCCCCTTCCTTGGCCTCATCTTTGTCCCCTTTCCCTCCTTGCCACCTTCTAGTGACAGATGGGGTTTCTTCTCTTCTTCTGGATCTTCCCATTCACTCACACAATCATTCCATTTGCATCCTCATCTTCTACCAGGTTCCATTCTTTCCTATTCTGTTTTTGATCGCAATATTATTGATCGCTCTTTGACAAGTTTAAAATTCACCAAACATTTCCAAGCTTAAGCCAGTCTATCTTCTTCTGATCCTCTGATCTAGATTGAAAAACCAAATCTCACTCAAGTTTGACACCTCTTTTGTCTCTAAAAGTTCGATTTACATCTCAATTGCTAACAATTAGACTCAAGGAATCCACCAAAAAAAGGTTTCGCAAAAGAAACTGGAGAAAAAGCCTGAAATGAAAAAAAGGCTCTAGGTGAAATCAGGGGTGAAAACCTGCCTTTCCTTTGTCTTTTATCCGTTTTTCCCTTTGCAATCTCGATCATCACGCAATCACCACCTGAAAACTCACCCCGACACTTTCCCCTCCCGCGATCATCAAGGAGTTTTTTTTGTCCGGATTCTCCATTTTACAAATCCAAATTTTTAAATCCTTCAAAAAGTTACAGCTTTATTTTAATCTGCGATTAGTTCAGCAATTTATTTTTCAAATCCAGACTTTTTGCTGCTTTCAAACTTTCAAATTCTCCAAATCTTATCTGATGGCCAAATATTTTGCGAGTCTTGTTTTTCATCTTTCCCTTTCGACAAAATTATTTTCGTCGCCTTTAAATGATTTTGAATATTTGGATAGTTCAATGATATTCAATGATCATCCATTTTCACATCCCATGTTATTCCCCATCAATATATTTGTTCCCTTATCTGTCGATCACTGATTCACCGATTTGCTTGCCGTGTCTTCAAGAGAGATATTCCATTAGTTTTCCTTTTTTTCTCCAATCACCTGACAAATATTTGAAATAAAAAAAGGAAAAATTCTATTTACTTTTAGAAATTAGAATTCAGAATTTAGAAACTTTAGAGATTAGATCTAAAGCAAGAAATGATCTTGACTTTAGATATTGAGATCTATTTTGAGAGCATTGAGATCGGTTATTCTAAACCAATATCTTGATAAGTTACATAAGTAGTACCATAGCATGACCAGTTAAATCCTAGTTTATCAAAACGTTATCAATATATTGAGGAATTCAGGCTTAATTTAGCTACTGTATTTCATTCTATGTAAACCCTGGATACAGTTTACCTGTTTACCCATTTTAAAGTTACAAAAGTAGTGCATTTATCCCTGCTAGATTTTCATTTACCTTAAAAATCTCAACAATAATAAATTCTTTCTTCCATTTCCCCAAATCCAAATCACCTTTCTGTTATTTTTCTCTACAAACTCAGGTCGTACCCTTTCCCCGAATCGAATTCCCCTCCCCTACACGTGTTTTCAATCGTCTCCTCCTTTCCAAAATGCCGGTGTGACATCTCTTCAGCACCACATGTTTATCCATTCTCTTCACACACCTTGACACCTTTTCAATAACTTTTCTGTTTAAGATTTCTAGATAAACTAAGGATTTAAGAAACGAGGAAAAAAAAAAGGAAAAGCCCTGGGAACGATTGTAATTCGACCTGTCTTCATTTCTGGAGAAGAGGGAGTCCCCAGGTGGGAAGGGAATGAGAGAACGGGGAAGGGGGTACGGTGGGGTGGAGGAGAGGAGACCCCTCGAGGTCCCGCCCCTCCCTCCTCTTGTCTCTCATCGCTCAGGTAGCCCCCATCTCCTGGTCATCATAGGAAATAGGAATCGTCCTTTTAGCGTCTAATCAACCATTTGAACTATAGTTTAAATCTTTATCTAAATCTTTATCCTTCTAAATCTTTAAGATGCGTATTGATTTTGACTATTGTAGAACTATTAGATTATTAGATCAAAGTCAGCGTTTTACATGCATTTTTGCAGCCTTTTCTCAACCGATACTGTAGTCTCTAATCTTTTATCTAAATTTGAATTAATTTTAAATCCCTTACATTCTTTTGTTAGCAGTTTTAAGCTGTGTTTGATTCTTGAACTTTTCTGAATTTTGTACTTGATTATTTATTAAATTTTTTTTTCAATCTTTTCTCATTTTCAGGCTAAAATTTCTCCGTCAACAATGATGCTAGGCCTTCTCGAGAACGGAGCCGGCACATCGCCTCTTGTCGACAATCGAATCAAGGTAGGAGGTTGATAATTTGATTCAGACCTTGACTAAGCTAACTATAAGTAAAAATGATTCATAGATAAGCTTAGATAGCAATAATCTTATCCAGAAGATGCTAGATATAAGCAAAATGGTTCAGTAAACTGTTCTAGGTGGACGAAGATCTTTTACGGAAATTCAAATGTGATCAGTGCGGGAAAGCGTTTAAATTCAAGCATCATCTCAAGGAGCACATCAGGATTCATTCGGGAGAGAAACCGTTTCAAGTACAAAGAATTCAATTATCAAAACTTTAAAACAATAAAGAATCTAGTAGTCCAAACTACAGTACCCTTTTCCCTTTTGTCTATTTGCTTAGTGTGTAACCTTGGTTACCTGAGACGAATGAATGAAAGGGTGACCCCGATTCGCGCATTTGACTCAGAGTACGGTAGTCCGAAGTTAAAATCTAATATTTGAAATTAATATTATGAAATTGTAACTCTAAAAACAATGTTTATTAACGAAACAATTTTAATTTCAGTGTCCATCTTGTCAAAAGCGTTTCTCGCACTCTGGCTCCTACTCATCGCACATGAGCAGCAAGAAATGCACCCCAGGCCTCGGATCTCCTTCACCCAATCACAGTTTGTTATTTAAAATGAATTCTATAAAAAGCAAGTCTGATTTTCTTCTTTCAGCCATTCAACCAATCCTCCCGACATCTCCGTCAACGTCTCTCTTTGCGGCCAGTGATCAGTTGGCCCTCTACCGGAATCTATTCCTCCAGCTACAGGTTTTTCGATTTTAAAGATTACCCCAAAGTAAGGCATAAGGCCCTACCTTGCAATGAGATACGTGTCGGTGTAGCCCATTGGTAAAGCGTTCCCGTAAGCGAGAGGTCGCGGGTTCGAATCCTGGCGCCGATCATGTTTTGTATTCCCAGCCTCAACCCATAAAAGGATCCATGTCCAACTCAAGAGACTAACTAACAAGCTAACAATAACAATGTAAGAATTTATTCTAGAATCAAACAAGATAATCGACTAATAGCTTTGTTTTTAGGCTCAACAATTGGCCTCAGCTTTGCCCCAAACGATGCCCACCAGCCCGTACCTGAGCCTTTTTCAGGCAGCAACGGTTTGTTTTTGATCTCAGAGATTGATAAGCTATGTATAACTCGATTTCTGTTATCCTTTTAGAAAAGTTGGTAGGTATCTTTGGTAAAATTTAATAGAAATAGAAATCATATTAGTAAACTGTAGTTCTTATCGTAAACTAGATTCTTCGTACACTTTACCAACTTTTCAATTTAGTGTGGAAGTGGGTTGGCTAGGTAGTGGTGGGGAAGTCTTGGGTCGAGGTCCTCTGCCCCGTGTAGGTGAACCGAGCATCTAATTGCGACCGCCTCTCTTTTCCCCTTCTTTTCTTTCTGCCTTTTTTCTTCGTTTTCTTTTAGTTCAAAGCCATGATTCATCAGAAATATTGTGAAATCGGAGCACAAAAAACGAACTTTCTTTGTTTACGAGGGGAAAGACTGTTTTTTGAGTTCTATAATGAGAATTGATATTCAGTAGGGATATTTTTGAAATTAAGTCAAGCTAGGCAAGGCAAGCTCACTTGCATTCTCCATTTCCTCTAGAATTCTTTCTTTTGATTAAAGAAGCGGAAGGTTAGGTGTGTGCTGAAGACAGATCCTCATTATATTCTTCGTCTGAATCAACCAGAAGGTGTATTCCCTTTAAAGCAGAAGAGAAGCAGACTCAGAGAAGAGCGAGGAAAGGTGAGGTGAAAGAAAAGGAGAGGAGGGGGAGGCCCGCGCGGTTGCGCGTTAATTAGGCCATGCGGGGATAGCTATGGATGGGAGAAGACTGAGGGGGAGCCTCACAAGGTGTATTCGAGAAGAGACCCCTTCCTCTCCCTCATCTCCCTTTCACCTCTTCCAACCTCAAAATGGGAATTCCTCCATTTCCTTTCCCTCTCTTCCGCACCCATCCATCCATACCTAGAATTCATAGTGCTTTCACCGGGAAGGAATGGAAGAAATGAGAAAAGGAAAGAAGATAGAGGAAGAGGAGTGAGACCCCACGATTAATTAGGTGAAAAGGTGTGGCTCGTCCCGTGCTTTCCCATTTTATAGAATTGAAATGGGTTCACCAAAATAACTTCAATAACAGCTTCAATATAACCGGTTGAAGAGTCTATCATATTTAAAGTTATAGCGCCATTGCCTAAAGTCAAATAAGAAAAGCTTATTCTGTAGCGTAGAATGAACCCTGGGCAAATAAAAATTAGAAAAAAACTACAGTCCTTCTATAACAACTTTCATTAATTTATGGAAGAGTTCAGTGTATTGTCCGGTAGTCAAACTTATAAGTTCTATCGAAATCTGTAGCGTCCATTTCCAGGCCACCGTCCAAACCCCAACCGACACTCAATCCCTGCTTGCCGCTTATTTGAACTCAGCAACGGCACAGGTAAAAAGAGTTTCTTGTTCTTAACATCAATTAACTCTAGGCGAGCCCAGCTGAATCCGAAGAAACGCAAGAAGGGTTGATTGTTTCCAAAAATGTTGATGAAGAGATAAAAGAGAAATTCGAGAGGATCAGTGAGAACGAGGAGATCGACAAGCTGAAGAAAGAAGAGCTGGAGATGGACGAGGGGAAGACCGAGAACATTATGCAACAGGTTGGAAATCGCTACAATACCTCCTTAGCCTTTAAGCCAGATGAGGCCAGGGTGACCTAGCTTGACTCTATTGCAGATTTGATCGTGATCTTTCCAGAAACCAAGTCTAAACCTGGCTGGTTCTACTTTTAGAATGTTGATGATATCCATTTATTGATTTATTATCTAATCAACTTTTCAGGAGAAGAAAATTGATCAGATTTTCTCGTTGAATCTGACCACAGACGATGCTCAGCAAAGGAATGGAGATCCCAGTTGGAGACCGATGCGATCAAGATCTTTTCTCACCGATGCTCAGGTGCAATAAAAAATTTATTTAAAATATAAGACATAATAAAATACCTAACTATTATAGTTATTAAATTCCAGGTGGCAATCCTGCAGAATCACTTCCAGAGGAATCCTTTCCCTTCAAAGTACGAGCTCTCGGCGGTGGCCGAGCAAATTGGAGTCAACAAACGGGTTGTGCAGGTAGGGTTGGGTTTTTGAATTGATAGAAAGCATCAAATTTTATGGCAATTGCCTAATGAAAATTTTATGTTAATTTTCAGGTTTGGTTCCAAAACACACGGGCCAAGGAGAGGCGAAGCAATCGATCGTTCGCTGATCGAAGCAAGACTCGCGGTGATTTTGGTGAGTTTCTTGGGAATTTCAGGATATTGATTGAGTATCTCAAAAAAGTATCATTCAATTTATTGATATTGTACCGTACCTCTTTGCTGGATCTAACTACCATGATCCGGCGAAAAGCACAGGCCATAATCCGAGCACAGGCTCGGATTATAGTATTTCCGAGTCTCCCTCGAAAAACGGGGCTTCAATTCGCATTTAGCTACACAAGATTTGATTCTAATTTTGGCTATTTAGAGTGAAATATGCTAGAAAAGTGCTTATCGAATAATTTCAGGAGTCTCACCATTGGCAAACGGTGCTTTGAAGGTTGGGTGGACGTCGTCCCATCCACATCTCTCTCATCAACCACTTCCCCATCTCCTTTCACCTCTCTATCAACTCCCCTTCTTCTTCCACAACAAGCACTTGCCGCTCAGCTCATGGCCACATGGTTTCAACACACGAAGAATGTCGCTGAGAGTCAGGTAGAATTGAAATGCCTATCGATAAAGGTGTCAAATAGAACTCCTTAATAAAAGAGGACTAAAAGATGTAGTCATTTTCTCGATAAGGCTGTACTATTGAAACTGTTGCTACGGCAACCGTATTTTCAACTTGATTGCTTACTAAATAATACTAGATAAATTAGATAACTGATTAGCTAAGTTCAAGTCTAGACAAGTGGCTATTCACTGGCTCACCTAGGCTTGGCTATTCATAGCTCTTCAACAGCTCTTTTGTCAGACATCCAGCTGTCAACTAATTAGCCTCTGTTCATCTAAACTTTCTTGAGCAAATGATCACTCTTGGGTAATAAACAACTCTTGAACAAAGGGAAAAAGGGAAAAGAAAGGAAGGCACCTGGAAATTACCAAAGATAGATGAGAGGATCCTGAATGAGGAAGAGACCCCCAAAAAATGAGCTATGATGATGAGAGGGTAATTATCCAATTGGCTCATCCCCATTTTTCGCTATTTTCTACCTGCTGTCGACTTTTTGACCCATACACATGTGAATTAGAGGAATTACGGTAATTGGTGGGTTTAGGAGGGGAATGGGGAAATGGATCATCGAGATTATTGAGAGTGTCCGCGAAAATTTCCCTCTTCAGGAGTTTTTTTGAGTTGAAAGTGAACTTTCAACGGAAATTAAACACAACAGATTCTATTGTGCATTAAATTTATCGATAAGCAGATATCGACTATTAAAACTTAAATCAATTCTAGGATGAACTGATGAGTGATGATGGAAAAGAATCGGAAGAAGGCGTCGAAACACCGCTGGATCTGTCACTGAGAGAAGATGATGAAATGATAAAAGAAGATAAAGAAAAGGAAGAGATCATTCCATCAGAAAGAGAGATTCCACAAACATCCACAGCTCTTGAGGCTTTCATCGAACAACAAGCGCATGCGGTTAGAAAAGCGCTACAGGTGAGCCATCGATTCCTAATTAAGTCTAGTTATTGAATTACAATCTATATAATAATATCAAGTTAACTGAATATCCTTTCTGTTCAGGAAGCGGCTGAAAGGAAAGCCGATCTGTGCACCCCTCCACCACCCCCGCAAAGTCATTCACCTCTCTCATCCTCATCTCCAGCTGCTAGCTCAGCTTCTTCTGGTTTGTAAATGAAATATATTAAATTAAAATCAAAAAAAATCTAACCTACTTCTAAATTTCTTTAGGAATTTGGCCCACAAATCTTTTCCTCTCACAATACTCGATGCTCGGCACAAATGGATTAGCGGATTTGCAAAAAGTTCTTGATGTAAGCTTTTTTTTAAGCTATTTGAATTATTGTTAGATCTTTAGTACAAGTTTGGTATTGTTTAAAATGTTTGTTTTCATTCAACTGTTCGTTTTCAGAGAGGCGAAGTCGGTTCGCGGTCTCCATCGCCGCAGAAGTCGGGTGGAGTCTCGTCGACGACAGGAATCGATGAGATGAACGGCGTCGAGGGTGGCCTTTTCTCCTGTGATCGATGCGATAAAGTCTTTGGGAAACAATCGTCACTCAATCGGCACAAATACGAGCACTCTGGTGAGTCTTTTAAAGCACAGAGCTTGAATTGAAAGGGCAAGAAAATATTTGTGAAATGGAATTTACGGTAGACAAGCTTTAAGCATGTAAATATTTGCAAATTTTATTTATAAAGAGGTCATTTTTGATTTCGTCGATAAAAATGAGAGGCGGGGATTGAATGGGAAAGGGAAAGGAGAGGACTGTGAATGGAAATGAATGGAGAAACTGTGGATGTAAATGTGAAAGAGATAGGAAAAGAAGGGGCAGATGGGTCTTGTCCTTTCTTTTCTATTTCTTTTCATTTTTTTTTCCTTTCACTCTGTGTGATTGATCGAAATCGGTGTGCTCGGAAAAAATGAGAATTAGATAGGTGAATCGGGGGGCTGAATGGGAAATTAGTTTGGGAAATAGATATGGGAAGCGATGACGTGCTGATTTGGCAAGAGTACTGTATATACACTGCTACAGTACTACTATTAACACTATGGACTACTAGATGATTACTATTACTGTAGATTACTGTAGTAATGTGGAGCAAAACTACAATATTTACAGTACAGTACATTACTGTAAACTCATGTGATTGATTGAAAGCAGTCAACAGTACTAGTCGACAGTAATACAGTGTAGCAGTCTAGTTGGAGTACTGTAGCTAAAACAGACTATAGATTACTTTCACCCATTCACTCCAAGCTTGTCACAGTACTTTTATGCAAGATTACTGTAACAATTAGTAAACAACTCGTAATGACTCGTAATCTACTGTACTAGAATCTCTTATACAATACAAGATAAGATTTAGATCGAAAATCATTCCTATTGTCGTTAGTTTAACAATTCAATTCGCTTAATTTCTGATTTTTTTCGATTTAAGTGTTCCTTTAAAGACACGATTATTTAGGGGTTAAGAATAGAGAAAATTGGGATGAGGAGAGATGAGATGAGGTGAAGTGGGGTTACGCAATGAGAAGCGATTGGTTTGAAGGGGAGGGGACAACCACCTGCACTCTTTTCCTTTCCTTTTCTTTCTTTTTCTTTCTTTTTCATTTTTCCTTCTTTTTCAAACGATTCACCGTCTTTCACACCCAATTGCACAATTAGAGTCTCTCCTCTATTCATAAAGGAGCATTGAAGATTTGAGAAAACAAACAAACAACCCATTTTAACCTGTAATTAGCGATTGGGATTGCATAAAGTTAGCGGTGAATAGAAAATATTATTGATATTTAACAAATTCGAGGAATTTCTTGGAAAAACTGTTAATCTCAATGTCTTTTAGGTCAACGCCCGTACAAATGTGATACTTGTGAGAAGGCGTTTAAACATAAACATCATCTCACCGAACACAAAAGACTTCACTCTGGGGAGAAACCGTTTGAGGTGAGCTTTTGATTTCAAAAAAAAAATGAAGAAATCTAATAGATAACTTGGATTTCTCTTTCTTCAGCTTTAATTTCCTTGATCTGTGCCAGAAAACCGGAGTTTATGTAAATCAATCTGAAATCAGATCGAGAGAATCTGGAGTCTGGAGAAAGTTATGGCTTTAGAAAGTAGTTAGCAACGAATTCAAAAATCCAGAAAATTCGACAGAGCCATTTAAATCGAAAAAAAAAGAAACGAAAAATGGCAGTCAGAGTTTTAAAAGTTACACAATCAAGTGAATCTTTGCTATTTTTAGTGTGCCAAATGTCACAAGCGCTTCTCTCATTCCGGCTCCTACAGTCAACATATGAGTCATCGATATTCATATTGCAAGCCATTCCTCAAGACACAGGAAAGCAGAAATGAGGTGGATATTGAAGAGGAAAAGGAAGAACAAAAAGAAGAACAAATCGATGAGGAAAAGGCTCAATTGTTGATGAATCCGTGAAAGCTGCTGTAACCAGAAAAGGTACCGCAAAGGAACTTTAACTGTAAGAGCTCGCCTATCGGTCAAATAGAAAGGACAGCTGAATGCTCTAGTGTCACCGTCTTCTATTTCCCTATTGCGCACAAACTTTGACCGATAAGCGTACTGTAACGGTACTTTTACAAAAGCTTTCCCGGAATTTCAACCCAAATATCCGCTCAAATTTCTACCCAGTCTTTCCCAAATCTCGACAAATTTATTTCCCGGAATATGCTCAGATTTTTGTTGTTTTTTTATTACTTTTTGCTACAGTATGCCTCCAACTTGCCAGGTTGTATTATAGAAAAAAAATGCATGTGTTTTCTCTTTTCCGATATTCGATTTGCTGTGATTTTTCTTTTTATCTAAGAAGCTCTTGCAAATTCATCGATTTTCTCGTCAAAACTCTCAATAATATGTGCAATTCGATTTCCACAGAAACGCTAGTGATCTGGCGTACCTTTTTTTTGTCTTAGAAAGTTTTTTAAAGGGAAAATTTTCAGCTATTCAACTGAATGACTTATTTTCAGGAAATGGCTTAGCTGAATATCTTATTTATCTTATTCTTAGTAAAATAGATGAGAATAAAAGTCTAGAAGTTTCGAATATTCAATTGAATATCAAGAAAAGGTTAGTTTAGTGAATATTTTACCGAGGAAAAGGCTTATTTAGCTGAATATTTACATGCAAAAGATCAGTGCAAATTTGCATGCCATAGGCCAAAATGATACTGTAAGATTTATTGCTTAAATTGATGCCAAATAAAAAGCACAACTGCATATTCTAGATTTATAGTTTTTCGACCGTAACTTTCCTTCTATTAGGCACTAATTTCGACGGATAAGAATGAGACGAATTTAGAGTATTTTTTTGAATTTTTCAATGAGACAAATTTACGAGATTTTTTCCAAATTTTAACATCGAAAATCGTCTCAAAATTTGCGAAATCGATACGCCAAATCCCTTGCGTTTCCGCTTTTATTGGTCGCTATTTCAGAAAAAGATATGCAGGTTTTAAATGTTTGTTTGTTTTTTTACTACATGGACAATTTGTGATTCGCTATGATAGTCCATTTTGTTTTGTTTTTTTGTTTTTCGAATTTTGTTTCTCTGAATGATTGTTTTGCAGCTGCTGAAATGGTGCTTTGATGTAAATAGAAAACATTTGAAATTTCCGTGCGTTTTACATTTAATCTTTCAATTTCGTATGCTTGTTTACGGTATTTGGTAGTACTGTACGCATTTCCCACATTCGCTTTTTGCTCTACTCTCATTTTCTCTTCCAAAACTCAGAGTCTACCGGTGCTTCGCTTTCATTTAAAAAGGCAATTTGCATACAAAAGTTTGCATTTAAATTACCCCCGTTTTCTTCTTCGCCAATCAACCAATCATGGACCAAACGAACGCTAGCCAATTCAGTGTGCCAAATTCCTTGCGTTTACCTTGAAAGATTTGCATTTAACCAATCTATTCATTTTCCTTATTTTTGTGTTTCGCTTTTGTGTGCAATAAAATATTCTTGAAAAAAAAGAACAAACAATTTCCAAATTACAATAAAAACAACTTAAAATTAATCAAAATTAATCAAGAAAAAGACCTGTATTCAATGTCAAAAAAGAAAAAAGAATAGATAAATAAAGAGAAAAAAAAATGAGCAAGCTAAGGTACATTGGATTTCAATATGAATACTTTCAGTTTCCAGGGAACTTTTTAAGATCTGAGTATCATTTCAAAAGAAAACAAAGTTTTTTTGTTTAATCACACCTAATTATAATATCGGAATTGATCAATTTCATTGATCATCTTCGATTTCCAATGGAAGAAGTTGTGGGCATTGTGGATGAGGGAAATGAATCGAATCGAGGCCACACCGACCCGACCACTCGCCTGTGTTTACACACTCGAATGTAATCTGAAATTGATTTATATTCGGCTATTGTTCTTTAAAAATCAGTAGATAACCTAGATTTTTCGATATAGAAAAGATATAGAAAGTATAAGAAATAGATAGAGTAAAAAGACTGGCTACGAAAGTTTCTGAAAGCTAACACGCTTTGCGAACGGTCTACTGAAGATTACATGATGGAAATGTTAAAATGCATTCAAATTGATGCATTGCAGTGGACCTGTTTAGTGTTCGCTGGACAGATCACTGTGTGTGCAATCCATTTCCGGTGTCCTCTCTTCACTCCCTCTTCTGTTGAAAATGGGCAAAAATCGTCACAGCACATCCGCAGACGAAGCTAAAGTCAATCATAGATTTGAAGATTCTAGATTTAACAATAGATTTTAATAATATAGTGATAGAACAATTGTAAAAGTGGAAGAAAATTCTACAACCATTCTTGTCGCTTCCCAGGCCAAAAATCGAACGGAGATCGGGATTCGTTTTGTGATCTGAAAGAGTTTTATTTGATTAGAGATAAGCTTTCTTTTAAATATCTTACAAATAGAAATGAATGGAAAAGCCTAAAAGAAAGAATCTCAATTCAATTGAAATTACCCGAGTTGTGAGTGTTGCCACTTGACTCCCGTTCACGTACGCTCCAGCAAAATGGGTGTTAATCGATGAGAAAACGGCTGTAATCGCTTTGTTTTTTTTAAATAAAGTTGACAATTTTTGACTTAAATAGTGAATCTATGACATTTCAAGAAGAAACCCAACAATTTCTCTCCATCGCTTTCGCTCTATCAGGTCTTCCGCCAACATTTTTCCACGATCGAATCGAGAATTCCTCTTCTCTTTTATGTCTTCTAAAGAATTTAAAGTATATTTATTACCGCCATATTATTTATTACATTATTCATTTATTTCAAACCTCTCAAATTCGTCGAGTTGATCAGCGGAGGATTCCCAATTGCAGAGATCGCCTAGAATAAAAGATATTTAAGACTATTTCAGGCTCCTATAAAACTTCTATAAACTTTGATCTGATAGTGAGACAAAGCTAGACTCCAATCCTAGCTTCCGGATTGTCCTAAGCTTGATTAAGTCAGATCAATCTATTAGACTATCCAACTCTTTTTGTTCCTTTTCATACTTCCGTTTAAAATCAACAAATGCCCCAATTGAACTATGGTTTATTTCATTAGAAACGCCAATTATTTTTCTGCACAATAACATAAAAACGATTTTAGAAATGTCTTATTTCTAGACTTTTTTTAGAGCATAAAGTCGGGTAGTCAAAAAAGGCCTGATGATGCTTGATGACCCCTTAGCTAAGAAAACCTATCTTGGTGTCAATAGATAAAAGATAGAGCACAAAAAGTTTGGTGTATAGCTAAGTTTTCAGAGAAATTCATTCGCCCAATTTCCTCGTAGAGGTTTTTATCGATTTTTACGAAAAGCACTTTTTCACACTCCCAAATTTGCTTGAAAGTGAACCCCAGTTGACCTAGAAAAGATGGGAAATTAAGCAATAAACACTTTTTATTTAGAAAAAACAATAGGTTAGTTGGGTGAATTTGTCATTTTTCAAAAGAAACTATAAAAAGGAAAAGAAAAGACTTTCTGGAAAGCCTAATAGTGATCTGGTCGACCATAGATGTTCTAAACTAGAATTTTTGAAGTCAGAGCAGGCCAGGCCCAGCTGGAGTTGGCTTTTATTTGGCTTTTCAGTTTTTTGACCTGATTTTGGACTAGCTGGAGCTCCCTGGTCAGAGTTTTGGCTTAGTTTTGGTTTGGTTGTAGTTTGTCTAACCTTTCTCAAAATCGCACTCAATCTGTTGGCACATTTCGAGGATTTCACTTGGATCGGGCTTTGAGCTAAAATTTCATTGGCTAAGTTTTCATTTCTCGATTAGCCGCTGAGTGGTTAGGAGTCTTGCCTCCTAGCTGGAAGGTAACTGGTATCCCAGCCGATAGAAAATTTCGCTCTTTTTCTCATAAACAGGTGCTTTTTCTCTGCAACATCTTTACGGCAGTGTATTTGTTTTTGTTGCATTATTCATGTTGAATAAAAGTTGAATCAACTTTTCATTACCTTCTGATCTTGACAGCTTTCGGTTTCTCGACATTTTCTAAATATAAAAGTAAAATAATTTTCCGATTTGATTCGAACCAATCTCTCTTTCCGTTTCTTCAGATTTCTCTCTCGAGTCGCCGTGTCGAATCTTTTTTACGTTTTCAGTCTGAATAACATTTCAAGGTTAAAAACTGGTTTTACAGCTAAATAGCTGAATAACTTTAAGTTAATAAGTTTAAAATATTCAATTGATACCGTTTTATGATTGTTCGCCATTTTGAGGGGTCCTTTTCTCCGTCCCGTTTCCTCACTTTGCGACGATTCTCCGCGAAGGCTAATGATTTTTGCATTTCTGAAATTTCCATCAAAAAATCTCCATTTTATAACCCAATCTTTTCTCTCAAACCTTTCATCAATTCCTTTCCGATTCTGTACTTTTAACAATCGCGCAAAAAGAGGATTCGTCGTTTGACCGCTTGGTCGATTATTCAATTTTCTTCTTGGCCTTCTCCCAAAAAACTCCGGATCGGTTTCCTGAAATATTTAATATAGTTTTAGATAATTTATTGTACTTCCAATTGGATACTGTAGCTATACAAAAGTCGTCTTTTTTTAAAAAAACTCTTACCACAAAGCCCCGCTCGACGGCTGTGTCGAGGGTGTCCGTCGACGGGTTGAATACCGGAGCCTAAACGGAATATGATACTTAAAAGATATTGTATATTATATGGTAAATTAATATATTTAATGCAAAAGGCTTCCCCCACCTGGAAACTCTCCCTTACGGCCGGCCATCTTGTCTCGAACATTTGACTCGGTGGATTACTGACACGAGAACGAGACACTTGACGGATTTGATCTTTTCTAAATATTGCAAATAATATGTCGGGTATATAGTCAATTCGTTTAGTGTACAAATTGTACTATTTTATAGAACAAACCTCTCTTGTTTCGGTGCGCTTTTCGGTATTCGGTGTTGTCTGAAAGTTTATCGATCAATACAAAGACATTAGCTAATAGTTTTCAGTATTAAAACAAAAGACAATAAAAAAATGAGAACTCACGCTCTTTTGATGGTTTCTTTTAAAGCATGTCGCTGAGCTTCGATGAGAATCAAAATTCTTGATCGATCCTCGAAAAGTCTTGATAGAATGAGGAGACGACGAAGGCGGCTGAAAGGAAAAGAACCTTTTCGTCCAACATATTGCAATGTCATCAAAGTGTCGGCTAATACCTTACTTTAAAGTTGATTCACACCTTTAATATATGCGCAAAAAGGTAATGAACTCCATTGGCTAACGTTACTTTTAGATTTATTTCTCAAATCTCACTCACCGTTTCCCAAGCAGGATATTCTTTGCGTGTCGATCCAGATCTTTCTTTGATAGAATTCTCTAAAAGTTTATTATTATTTAAATTCGTTCTGTTTTTACCTCAATCCTTTGATCATCAGCCGCTCTCAATCTCTCACTCAATGGTCCCTTCTCCCAAAGATCCATCAAAGCCGTGATCTCTATTTCAATCTGAATTCAATTTTCTTAAAATTTAACAAAATATCCAATACTCCTTTTGGATCATTCCACGGTAAATCTTTCTTTTCATTCGCTTCTTCTTTAGCACTTTTCGGGATGAATTGTGATGTCCATGTGAGTGGAGCTTTTGGTGGGGGTGGTTGGGTCTGGAAGGCTTTTATCAATCACTGTTTTTGTATTATGAAAACGGTTAAAACTAGTATAGTACGGTGAATATTGTCTATTAAATTGTCAGGATGAATTGTGATGTCCATGTGAGTGGGGCTTTTGGTGGGGGTGGTTGAAAAGCCTTGTTCTTAATCTTAAACAAACCCTCGATTTCCAAGCAATCGTAATCGGGTTATTCGTCGTAACAAATGAAGTAGAGAACTCGATTTCCTCCTCAAAAGGTTTTTCAGTGGTTGTAGTTGGCGGTGTGTTTGTTGTCGTTGTTGTTGTTGAAGTAGTTGTAGTGGTTGTTGTAGTCGTTGTCGTTTTTGTAGTCGTTGTCGACCTCAACGGTGTCTTGTTCTTCGCAAAAATCCTATTCCTAATCGATTTTCCCCGTGTGGTGGTGGTCAATGTGGTCGTTGTTGTGGTTATTGATCTCTCCGTTGTCGTTGTTGTTTGCACTTTTGGAATGAATTGCACATTCGAGAAAGTCGTGGTTCGTTCCTCCTAAATTCTTACTTTAAAAAGGAATTTATTACTTATAAAACCATTCGATCTATTTCCGATTCAGGGATCTTCATGTCGGGTGCAGAAATCTCCTCAAACTCTGCGTCATTCTCGAAATCGGCCCATCCAGACGGCGGGGAAATGGGCTAAATTTAAGTTAGTCTTTTGGAAAGCCAATGATAATTGCTAATTTTCAAATTTAGATATCTTTTGATATTTGAAACTTAGAATAACTCATGTTAACTTAAACTACAGAACTTGACTTGATTTATAAATTTTTTTTCCTCTTATCTAGTCCGTTTTCTAAAAGATATGCTTTAGAGAAAGCTACCGTAATTAGGCTGCTTTGAAAATTTCAAATTTGGACAATTAAGTCAATTTAGTGTAGTGTAATGTAGTGTAGCTCGTATACCCTAATCTATTTTCTCCATCAAAATGATTACTGTAGATGAATTACTTTAGCCTTTTGCTACAGTAATCCAGAAACAAATGGATTATTGTAGCCTAGGCTTTTTAGAAAGGACAGTAGTCTATTGTCATTAGCCTATTTGAAATTTCGACTTTAAACAAAACTATGGAAATTTTTGGTCAATCAACGTGTTTATAGCCTACACATCCAACAGCCTTATTTACCAGTTTTCCCTTTTATGACCCGCAATATTACTTTTGCCAGGATATCACAGAAATAATCCTCTCAAATCTGTTCAAAAGAAAATGTTGCGATTTTCGATTGAAGAAAAAGAAAGTGAAAAGGGATTAGGGAATCAGATGATAAAATTGCAATTTGTAGTCGCTGAGTGATGCGTCAGAGCTGTTGGAAAGTTGTTGGAATAAGTTGAAAACATTTTCGAAAAAAACTAGAGTTTCGTTTTTTAAACAAAGTTCTCCATGCGTTTGGTGGATGATTTGGAAAAGTGCCATAATCCTTTTCAGATTCTGCCTACTTACTTTAGTAGTTTTTCCATTCAATGCAAAGTGGTTTTTGGGATCATAGGGCAAAGGAGAATGAGGGACAAAGGAGAAGGTATGGTGCTTTTCCAAATTATCCACCTTTTAGCAAACGTATCACCGTATTAAATTACCGTTTGAAAGATTGTATGCGATGAGAAGGCCCGGGCTCTCGACAAAGGTCCGAGGGGTTTTTTGAATGAATTCGATTTGTGTATCGAATCGTGATTGAATTGACTGATGGATAGAAGTTGCTGTGTTTCCTCTAATCCATCTCCATCCTTTTCCCCGTTTTCCTCATTTCTCTCCTCGTTTTGCATTGTGCTTTGCCATTTCTCGCGCAACTCGTCGTACTTCTCGCGAACCTGTGAATTTTTGATATTTGATTTTGATTTTTTCATTTATCATTTTTAGACTATAATTTGATGCACTCGTCTCTCCACTTTCTAGAAAATTAACAAATTTACGGGTAAACTTTTTCCTGGGTATAGTGACGAATTGGGCATAATCATCCCGGAAGGCCGGCTCGATCCCTCACCGCTTCCTTTACAGATCAAAAAAGGAACACCTATCTATCGGGAACGTTTGCCAGAAGGCGAGCGACAAAGAACGCCTTGCCAGTCATTTACTTTTTTTCTTTTACTTTGTATGTGCTACAAAACGATATTTAGCTGGAAATTTGTATCTGGGGTTTTCAGGGACAGGGAATCGATTGGAGCTATTCATTTTATTGAGTCTATCAATTAAAACCTGGGTTTAATTGGTCTAACCTGCTAGATATCTGCTATCGTTCTGCTAGCTCCTCAAACACTCACCGATTTGATTGCTTTGAGTAATTCCTCAGCATATTCTTGATCCTTTGAGTTGTTCTCATTGTCGAGAGCTTCTTCTGAAAGGTCGGTATTGCATTTTTTTGGGAATTTCATTACCAACTCACCCAATTCGCTTAATTGATCCAATTCCTCCAATTCGGGTATCGTAGCCCGTGGGAAATTCTCGATCGAGTCAATCAATTTTGACAATTCATCTGCAAAGAAACATTTGTGTTTTTCTACTTAATTTTATTTTTTAGTTGTTCAAACCTGTTGTTTCTGTCACATCACAAATCACTTCTCGACTCAATATCACTAAATGTTATTGATTATTCTTTTATTCACCTTTTCACTCACAAATTATACTCAAAAGAGTTTCGAAGAGAAGCCATCGGCGTTTCATCGTAGCTCAACCAAAAAACGAGCTCGTTTTGTCTAAATTTCGATAATTCTTGATTGAATGATAATAGAAATTGTACATTTTAGTTACTTGCTTACTATTTATTAATATTCTTTCTTTCTTCTTTCTTTCGCTTGGCAAGTTAAGCTACCGAATAACTCAGTAGCTAGAGTAATTGTCTGGAAATCGAGAGGTCAAGAGTTCAATCCCCTCAACTTTTTTTTTGATCTGTCTTCGCATTCAGGTGTTCCTATTTGCGCAGATCACAACCTGCTTCCACATTTCTCTATCCCTTGCTATTGTTATCCAGTGTTTCCTATCTTGATTGTTTCTGGTTCGAAGTCTTCGACTTGCTTGTGCTGGTGGTGGTTGCACTCTAGCCATCCTTCATCCCCTCAACTTTTTCTTACCAATTCCTTTACTTCTTTATTACTAAAATGATTTCCTAACTTTGAACTGCAATTGAAACTAAAGGCTGTTCGAATTGGTTCTTCAAGTCAACTGAATACTTAAGTTCTAGTGAGATGGGATACTGATAAGTATCTGCGTTAAAATGAGTATTTTCACGTCGTAGACTCTTGTCTTACTTCAGTATTTTCCACTAAAAGATATTCGATCAATGTCCTCAGCTTTACTTTGGTTCAAGTCCTTGAATCAAAGTTTATTGTTTTTTCCTCCCAACAAAACTTTCTTTGATTGACTATTTCCCTTTTTATTTCACTTACAGTATTTTAAATGCCACCCAGCTTTCAAAATCCCTTTTCCGATTCCAGAGATTTTTGTAAATCTCTCAAAAATTGTTGCCAAGTAACATAGATTTTTGCAATAAGGATTAAGATTTCTCAAAAAAAACCAACTCTTTTTTGCTGGTTTTCTTCTCAAATCGGATGGATGAACAAGGATTTTCTGCTTTTCAAAAATTTCCTTCAAGAATCTCCTTTTCTTTCCTTGTTCCCGTACTTCAAATCCCTAAATTCTTCTGTAAGCAATGGTGCAATAAGTAGAGAAAAAAAAAAGATTTTTAGAAAATAAAAACGATAAAATATTGCTGAAAAATACTGGCAATTGGATTTTGTGATTCATTGGAAAATCTCGGATTTCAGACTTTTTCAAGCATTTGACTGAATATCTTTTAATCTCTTAGCAAAGCTAAGCCAAGATCCGTTAGGCATTAAGTGATAAAACAAAGGAAATGATTAAAGTATTTACTACTAGATTACTCTAATCAATCTTTTAAAGATCTAAGAAAGGCAGTCGAATCAATTCTCGATTCATAAAGTGATAAATCTATAAATTGCCACACCACCGAATGGCTCTTGATTATGGGAAGATTGGAAAAAAGGGACTGATTATCCTAGCAAGAAATATCCACAGATAATTCACACAAAGATGATGATAAAGAAGGGGAGAAAAGAGAATGGAATGGCTGCACAAAACAACGACCATCATCACAATTTTCAGTTTTTTCCCCTCCTCCACTTAGCCCTTTCTTTTGCTTTGCCTTTATCCGAAATCGAGCCCATAAATGCTTTTTTTCTAAAAAAGAACACCATTCCGCTCTCCCAATTGCAATCGGAATCTCTTCGTGTATTTGTGTGTGAAAGTTTGATGGCAGACAAACGACAAGGATGGGAATGGAGATTGGAAATGGAAAACAATCAAAAGACAAGGCAGAACTTTATGAATACTGATTATTGTGCGAGTTGGAAGTCGAGATGATGATCTTGAACAAGCTGGGGAAGCAAAGTGAACGACTAACGTCAAATGCTTCGATCGGATTTTGAACAAATTTACAAGGCAATCTTATCAGAAAAAAGATTGATTTACCAAAATTAGCCAAAGCGAGCGAAGCAAAAATGATTTGCCAAACGACAAAGTGATCACAAATATCCTGCAGAAAGTTGAAAATAAACAATAAAATAAACAGGAGATTTAGCTATAAAGATAGATAAAGCTATAGCAAAAGAAAACAAAATGAAGAGATAAATTGATCGTAAAACTGAAAACAAAAGAAAACTTCGCAAAATGAGACTTTGATGAAAGTGCTGCTCGAATTTTGGCTTATTTTGCATGACCATCTATGAACTAAAAGCTTATTATTCCAGTTGAAGATGCACGAAGCAAACACGTACCAAATTGCAACACCAGAGATAATACAAAATAACGAATACTCTCGAAACAAAAAGTGATGAACAACAGTGATAAACTTTTCATTGTACAATTGTGGAACCGAATTTGATATCAACCAGTTATCTACTGTTATTCTGCAGATTTCTATTATAGAAAGAAAAGTTTAATTGATAGCTTAAAAGGTTTATTTATCAGGAGTCAAAGAAGCGATGAACTGCCGAATCACGTAAACTCGAGAGAATTGAGAAAAGATGCGTGAAATGTGACACGAGAACTCCTTTTGAATAGCATGAGGCAAATAAAAGCCATGAAAAAAAATGGCAGATCGAGTTATTGAAAGAAGAAATAAAGGGAGAGCAGTTGAAAGGAAATGCAAAATCGAGAAGGTAATTTTTGGAGGAAAAGGAGAAAAAGGCGTCATGCTGTTCCTTTCAGAGAAAAAGAAAAGCTTTAAGATCCACTCAAAATAACATTCAAGGACATTTAAGCAAATCTCTTCTCGCAAATCAGAAATGAAAGAATTGAAACTTCTTCTCAGCTTGATCGTTTACATTTTGGTTCAAAAATCTCAAAAATCGGGTAACATCATAAAGTTTGTTGTTTGGAAAACGAACGTTTGAATTATCAAACATCAAGTTGAAAGCTTAATTGAATGCCAAGAGTGCATCACTTTAAGATATTGTTCTTTACGTCTTGTATGTCAAATCAGTGTTCAACTGACATCGAAAACTGTGACGGCTGGATTTTGTTCACAGAGTTGGCCAAATTCCTTGCGTTTGCATGCCATTCAGCAAAAAAAGGAAGCGCATGTTCGGATTCGGAAAATTCTGCTTCGAATAATCCTAGATTCAATTTGACAGTCCACCTTAACCGGTTGACCTTCCCTCGTGAGCTCTCGAGGCACTCATACTGCTGTACTATAACGTTTGCAGCACTCATTACAAGATACAATATAACCGGCTGACTATGAGATTTTCCAGGGTCATTAATGCTTATACAAAATATCTAAAGTTGGACACAATGTATTAAAGATATCATTGCCAATTATAATAGAATGTATTAAAGATATCATATTGCCAATTGACCAATTGACAAGTACAAAAATCATTGCATTTCCTTGTCAGTTAATCGAATAGCTGTTTGCCATTTTAAAAAAGAACTGAATGGACAGTTTTGTGAAAAACTTCTCTGTTAGAACGAGATCATCAATTCGTCTCACTTCACAATGAGAGAAAGAAAAGAAATGAATCAGGAAAATGGGGGAAATCTCAACAAAAAAAGTGAGATCAATGAGATTGTTAGGCGACAGGGAAAACCGATCAACCCTTTGGCAAATTGGGAAAAGGAGAGTTTAGAAGAAAAAGTGGGATGACGATTTTAGCCAATAACGAGTGATAACTGAATACTCTAAAAGCATCTTATGCATAAAAGATTTGTGTGAAGTGTTTGGATTGGCATGATGATCCACCAAAAAGGGGTGCATTCTGGCATAAACTTTGAAAAAAAAAATAGCCGCCAGTTGATGGGGGAAAAGAGGGGATATCGGTAGAATGATCAAATATATGAAAAAAAGAAGAAAGATTGCTGTGGCAAGTATCGGATGGATATTTTGGTGTCTAGGGTTTATGTAAATTCCATTTGTATGACAATTTGATTTGCAAATTTGATAGTGTGTATTTAATCCAAAGGTAGCTAGGGAGAATACCGTATTTTCTCTAATAGTAGTGCACACTGAGCGTTGCCTAAATTGCTCGGAATCTCGAGAACCGCTTATCAGAACCTATCGATGTGGGGTCGGAAAATGTAGCTGACGATGAAAGCTTGTGGGGGATTTGAGTGTTGAGCTTCTGCAAAAGCTTGGAAACCGTAAAATAGTCACCAACTCGGCTCGCCGGGGTGCACTACTATTAGAGAAAATACGGTATACTGTAGATGTGGAAAAGAATCGCGAATTGGCTTGGGTTTAGCATATTTTCCGGGTCAGTGATTTTGGGTATGTTTTTGGTAGTTTTCGTTTAGCGGGATGTCGAATTTGTAGAAAAATACAGCTAAAATTAAGGCAAAAATTGATCGAAAAAATTTGGGCATAGTGACGCCTAGAAGAAACGCGAAGTTGCCCAATCGCTCACCACTCCACTTTACGGATTCTAAAATTGGAATAAAAATCAAGAAAAGAATAAAATTGTCTTTAGATTTTGCATATGATAACTTTCACAATGAACAGACCCATATTTTTTTTGCAAAAGACCAGGATTTCTGAGAAGAATCTAGACTTTTATGCCTGATACAGCCATCTGTGCCAGATCGTACGCACAAAGAACAAAAAATGGCTCATTTTTCAAGTCGTAACAAAGCAGAAAGCTTTGAAAACAAGTTCAAATCTGTAAAATCTTTAAAAGAAATTTAATATGAAGGCAAAAACATTCTCAAGTTTACATTTCACCTTATGGGGTCAACTGTTAGAAAGAGAGGTAGCAACAATAGCAAAAGGGGCATCGAAAAGTTTTTATGAATGGAAAAGGGTGCTCGAGAAAGGGTAGAAGGCTAGAGCCATCATTGTACAATTTGGCATTTGAAATGATAGGAATCAAAAAAGTGAATGGAGAAAAGAAAGTGGAAAGATTGAACAAATAAAAGAGAAGAGATTCACCTTGAGGTGGGGAAAACCCTTCAATGAAACTCCCATCATTGGAATCAAGAAAAGGGAAAAGTTGCCAATAGAAAAGGGAAAGATATCAATTTGAATTTTCCATTCGAAGTGATGGAAATGAGAATTAGGCAATGAATTTTTTATATTCAAATTTTAGTATTAAATCGGATATCTTAAGACTTGGGGGTAGCTACTTTGCGCCAAATTTTTTTGCGCAACTAGG